CTGGGTACTGTGTGGGGGAGAAACAGAGACTGTTTAGGGTGCAGAGGTGGGGGCCCTGCTTTGAGTCTGGTTTACTGGGGTTCTGGTGGGTTTGGAATCTGCATCTTAAAACATCCCAGTGACTTAGTCTCTTATACAGTCCGGGGATCCAGGACCAACCTTGTCCAACCCCCAGGGTCCATGCATGTTATTTTCTAGGTTCATTGAAGGGTTCATTCCCAGGCGTGACCTGCATGCTCTGTCATGTCTGACTGTTTTGCAACTCCATAGGCTGTCATCATGAGAAACGCTGGGCTGGAAGAAGCACAAGCTGGAATCAAGATTGCNCTCCAGTACTTTGGCCACCTCACGCGAAGAGTTGACTCATTGAAAAAGACCCTGGTGCTGGGAGGGATTGGGGGCAGGAGGAGAAGGGGACAACAGAGGATGAGATGGCTGGATGGCATCACCTACTCAATGGGCATGAGTTTGAGTAAACTCCAGGAGTTGGTGATGGACAGGGAGGCCTGGCGTGCTGTGATTCGTGGGGTCGCAAAGAGTCAGACATGACCGAGTGACTGAACTGACTGACTGACTAAGACTGTAGCCCACCAAGCTCCTCTGTCCATTGGATTTCCCAGGCAAGAATATTGGACTGGGTTGCCATTTCCTACTTCAGGGGATCTTCCTGACCTAGGGATTGCACCCGCATCTCGTGCTTTGGTAGGTGGATTCTTTACTACCAGACCACTTGGGAACCCATTTTCTAGGTAACTGGTGCCAATGAGCTAGAATGCATCATGACTGGCACCCATCGGAGTTGCGTCGTGTGGCAGCTCTGCAGGGTCCACCCCTGAAGACACCCTAATTTAAGTGTTTTCCATCTAGAGGAGAGAGGGTGTCCAGGTACCCTTGGCTGGTGAGAACCTGGATGTGCACAGAGTAGCACGAGCCTCAGCTGACTCCTGGCCAAGGCTCTGAGTCATACGAGTTATTAGTTGTCCTTGGCGGCCCAACGCAGAACCTCCTAGATTCCTGAGCTGTGAAGATGGGGGACCAGTGAGCTGTCAGTCTTGTCATTTCCTGTGGGATGAAATCTCCCATCAGCATCCAGATGTCCTCCAGGGATGTGTGACAAACAGCTCTGTGCTTCCCTGAGAGACAGGTTCTTGTCTGGGCACTCAAGTTGAGCCCACACAAGGGCTGGTGTAAGCAGAGGATGAGGAAGCTCTTAGGTGTATGAAGTGGGCATAATGCTGACTGCCAAGAGCTACTTACCTCTACCACCTGAGGTGTGACGGGAGGCAGTCTTAGCACCCATTTTATGGATGAGAAAAGCAAGGGTCAGGGGCTCTTCACAGGAATGTGATGGGAGAAAGAACATGTGAGTTGGAAAAAAAGCAATGGCATCTCCCATCCCAGCCAGCCTTCCAGCTCAAACTCCAGCTCTGCTTCTTCCGAGGAACACATTAACCCCTAGGCCCTAAGGCTGTCCTCATCTGCAGAGTGAGGACCAAGGGCGTGTTGCTGATAGTAAACGAGAAGACAGAGAAGTGCTGCCCAGAGCTGATAAACAGTAGGGGCCTAATGAGTGCTCCTGCTCGGACCTAGAGCAGCAGGGCTTGTGCCCCTTTTCTGAGGGACAGGTTTAGCCCACTCAGCCCTGAGGCTCACGTCCACAGAGTGATCTGACTGCTCTTGGACCCAGCCCAGCTCATGTCCTGCCCAGTGGCCCAGTGATGCAGACTCCTAGCACTTCTTGGCCTTGGCATCTCTCCCAGCACTCTGGCCAGAACTTCTGGGCCCCTGCCAATGCTCACTCTTCCAGGAACTGCTTCCCACCCCAAGGCCAGCTTTCTGAGAAGGGACAGGCACGTTTCAGTAAAGTAAAGGGTAGCTCCAAAGTAAGGCCTAGGGTCCAACACTGAATCTGGGGGAGACTGAGAACCAAACCCCTCTATGTGTGGTGATGGATGTTAACTAGACTTTCTGTGATGGTCATTTCACAGTTTATACACATAGGGAATCACTGTTAAGCACCTGAAACTAATATAATGTTATATGTCAGCTGTATTCTCAAGCAAAGCAGCCCTCTAGCCCCACACATCTTCCTGTCAACATCATTAAGTCTTTGTATCTTATCATATTCAACACAACAGTACTAATCCAGGAAATTCTTGCCCAGAGAGTAAAAGTTATAAATCACTGTATTGTTCATTCTAGGCAATCCCTGAAACCATCATTTAAAGGAACATCAAACTGCCTAACTCTTTAGTAAACAGCATCAAAAGAGAGCTTACAAGGACTCCACTGGCCATCCAGTGTTAAGAAACTGTATTCCCAATGCAGGGGGCACAGTTTCAATCCTTGGTCAGAGAACTAAGATCCCACATGTCACTAAGCACAGACAAAAAAAAAGAAAGAAAGAAAAAACTTACATCTTTTTTTCTTTTAATAAATATTTCATTTTTTTTCACTTTTTTAAATTGAAGGATAATTGCTTTACAGAATTTTGTGGTTTTCTGTCACACATCAACAAGAATCAGCCACAGGTACACCCATGTCCCCTCCCTCCGGAACCTCCCATCTCCCTCTCATCCCACCCTTCTAGATCATCACAGAGCCCCTGTTTGAATTCCCTGAGTTATACAGCAAATTCCCGCTATCTATTTTGCACATGGTATTGTAAATTTCCATGTTTCTCTCTCCATACATCTCACCCTCTTCCTCCTCCCCTCCCCATGTCCTTAGGTCTGTTTTCTATGTCTGTTTCTCCATTGCTGCCCTGAAAATTAATTCACCAGTACCAACTTTCTAGATTCCATATATATGTGAGAACATATGATAGTTACATTTCTGACTTACTTTACTCTGTGTAATAGGCCTTAGGTTTGTCCACCTCATTAGAACTGACTTAAGTGTGTTCCTTTTTATGGCTAATACACCAGCTCGATGGACATGAGTTTGAGTAAACTCCGGGAGTTGGTGATGGACAGGGAGGCCTGGCGTGCTGTGATTCATGGGATCACAAAGAGCCGGACACGATTAAACGACTGAACTGAACTGAATATTCCATTGTGTATATGTACCACAGCTTCTTTATCCATTCATCTGTTGATGGACATCTATGTTGCTTTCATGTCCTAGCTATTGCAAATAGCACTGCAATGAACGCTGGGGTACATGTGTTTTTTTCAATTATGGTTTTCTCAGAGTATATATCTAGGAGTGGGATTGCTGGGTCATATGGTGATTTTATTCCTAGTTTTTTAAGGCATCTCCATACTGTCTTCCATAGTGGCTGTTTCAATTTACATTGATACAGCAATGCAAAAGGGTTCCCTTGTTCCACACCCTCTCCAGCATTTATTGTTTATAGACTTTTTGATGATGGCCATTCTGACTGGTACAGGGTGATATCTCATTGTAGTTTTGATTTGGATTTCTCTAATGAGTGATGTTGAGCATCTTTTCATGTGTTTGTTAGCCATCTGTATGTCTTCTTTGGAGAAATGTGTTTAGGTCTTTTTCCCACTTTTTGATTGGGTTGTGTTTTTCTGGTATTGAGTTGTATGAACTGCTTTATATTTTGGAAATTCTTGGTCAGTTTCTCTCATTCTGAGGGTTGTCTTTTCACCTTGTTCGTAGTTTCCTTTACTGTCCAAAAGCTTTTAAGTTTAATTAGGTTCCACTTGTTTATTTTTGTTTTTATTTCCATTACTCTAGGAGGTGGGTCATAGAAGATATTGCTTTGTCACTGAGTGTTCTAGGTTTTCCTCTAAGAGTTTTATAGTTTCTGATCTTGCATTTAAGTCTTTAAGAGCTTACATCTTAAGAATCTTTGAACTCCTCGCCTCAAAACGTCTCCTTGTCGTGTCCACCGATCCTAAACTCTATCACGATCTTTATGCTATCCTAGTCAAGGCATCCTTCCCTGCGCAGAAAGCCCCACCTGAAACCAGACTCGGAAATCTCCTTCTCATGACTGTACCCTCCCTACACTGGCACGCTGGGGAGGCATGGTAAAGATCTCCCTGACCCGGAGAAGAGCTGTTTCGGCTCTGTCTGGCCAACAGCTCTCAGCCTGTGATATTTTTGGTAAGCCAGCATTCAGCAAGAAGAAATGAAGTCGGGGGAGTCTTCTTTTTGACCTTTGGGGTGGGGTGCGTGGCAGCCTGAGTCCAGGCTGGTCCAAAAGACACAGCTATAGTGAAGCCCCCAGAACCACAGACAGAGTGAGTTCTAGAAAGTCTCTTGGGGATCCCTTTACAGCCCCTTCTCTTTACAGACAGCAAACAGGGTCCAGAGAGAGGAAAGGAATTTGTCCAATGCACAGAACTCACTGCACTTGTTGGTAGATTAAATGAGTTAATATCCATCACGTGCTTAGACACTGCCTGGTGTGTCCTAAGCTCTATATGTGTTTGTGAAACAAAAGTGATGGCAAGGCTGGCCTAAAACTCAAGGCAAACTTGGGCTGATTTCCCAGATTTAGAAAACAAAAACTGACTTAAACCTTGAAGCCAGGAGCAGTTTCTCACGTGCATCAGAACTACTGGAGTTAAAGATTATTAAAGTGGCATGCTGGGCTCCATCTCCAGAGCATCTGATTCTGTAGCTGTGGGGTTGGGGTGAGATCTCTAACCAGCTCCCTGGCTGGTCCGAGACCTCTCCTTGAGAACTTTTGACCCTGAGAAACGAACCACTAAGGGTGCAATTTCTGGCATCAGTCAGGGAGAAACGGCAAGGCGGGGACAGTGGGCCCCTCATCCTTCTGCAGGTACCAGGTCCCCCAGACTGATGTTTAGACCTCTGCAGCTGCACAGAGTCAGGGCAGGCATCAACTCTGCCTGGCTGTGTCTCCGCCCATGGTGAATGTTCCAAGCCACACTCGGGTCAAGCAGCTTTACCCCGTAATTTCAACCAGAGGGGCAGCCCCTCCTCTTTGCCAATGGATGTGGTCACCACCCGGGCCACGTGAGATCTGTGCCGTGAGAATGAATCAAACAGCAACAGACAGATGAAACCAATGCATTCTTTATTGCAGACTGAAGCAAAGGGCTCACTCACACAGTGGGCTTTGATTTGGGGCCTTCTCTGACTGCCCAAGCTTTTCCAGCAGGCATGGGCAAACTCTCCAAGCAGAGTAGAAAACAGCTTCCAGAAGCCACCCTGTCTAAGGGCCTTAGGTGACAACCTGGGGAAGCAGTAGAAGTTACCCAGGAAGGCCAGGCAAAGCCAGCTTTCCTCTCCTGGCGGCTTTGGGTCAGTCCCTTCACTGGGAGCACCGCACAGCCTCTGGAAAGATAGAAGGGGCCCAGGGTCTCTGGGGGCTGGCTTAGAGGGGCATGAGCAGACTCAGACTCCACTGATGGTGCAGAGGGAGAGCCGAGAACCTTCACCCTCTTCTCTGAGAATGTCCCCAGGATCGCCCCAGGCCCCTGCTTGTGGAAATCAGCTCTTCTGAAATGCAGTTTCTGGTTCCAGAAGTCTAGAATAGGGCCTGGGATTCTGCATTTCTATTGAGCTTCCATGGATGCCAACTCTGCAGGCCCACAGACCACACTTGAGCTGCAAGGCTCTGGCTATACAGTGTCTTCCTGCATATCGGAAAAGTGCACCCCTTCTTTGACAAGGAAAAACCCCACTCCAGGACACAGTCTAGGGTATCCCAATCAGCCTGGGCTGGACTACAGGCTCACTCGTCCCCACCATCCACAGCTTAACTCCAAAGCCCTAAAAGATCCCATTTCGGCCTCCTCAACCTGAAAACACTCTCCCCCAGAGCTTCACCAACCAGGCCTTGAAAGATGAGCAGAGCAAACACTGATCATTCAGCAATGGGCCAACAGTGGCCCAGTCAGTCAGCCTCTTGCCGAGACCGAAGGCCTGGGCAGGGGTAGGCCGTGGAGCCAGGGAGGAGGAATGGGTCTGGGAGCATTCTGAGAAACGGTTAGTGCTCTGAGCAGTGGTCTGAGCTGTGAACAGCCTAACCTCAGGACGGGAAGAGGGCCACTAGTCTACAGATGTAGACTGGGTAGTGTGGCTTGCTGCAGACCCCTGAGGCCTCAGCTGTCTCCTGTAGACCAGGCCAGGTGGGCTCTGGGCTCTGAGTCTGCTTGCTCCACAGATGAGAAGGTGGGAGGTAGATATATCTGGGGATCATGGGGTCAGCAGCTGTCCAAACCACAGGTGTGGTCAGGACGCCAGAGCCCAGGCCCCATGGAGGGACCAGTTGCCCGTTTGCTGGGTGCTGTCCCAGTGTTAGCGCTCAAAGTCCCACGTCCCAGGAAACCCCTCAGTCCCGGGCACACAGAGATGGCTGGTCACACAATTTCCTGGCCACACCCTAGACTCCAGATCGAGGGCCTAGAGATGACTAGGTCATCAGGGCTCTGGGTGGTGGCAGCCTGGGAACTGGTCACAAATCCAGGGGTCCATGGTGCCTTCTGCCCCCATGTGGACCAATGACAAGGCAGCCAGACAACTGTCTGAGGGCGACTGTGTTGAGCGTGGCACAGGTGCGAATGTCTGTGTTTCTCTCTGGGCTGTCATTCCTGCAGCAGGACTGATGCCAGGCAAACCCGGTCACCACGGGGGAGGGATGCAGCAGTCTGGACTTCCAGCCCCACTGACTTCTTAGTCATGGGGAAGCACAGGGCCTACTCGATATGCCCCCACTGGTCGCTGGGCCCCTACACACTTTCTCAGCCGTGCCTCAGCGCTGGGCCACACTCTGTCTGCAGCTTTCCCGTGATGCCTAGTTCCAGTTCGCGCCAATCCAGGGGCCCAGAGGGCTGAGGATGGGGCACAGTGGAGGGCCTCATCCAGGTCAGTCTTCAGGAGACAATAAATAGATGGAGGTTGTCTTCTGTCACTCTCAGGGCAGCTGCTGGCTCTCAGCACTAGAAACAAGACCTCAAACCCACAAGGGCCCAGAAAGTGCGCAGCAATGCTCATCCATGGGCCCAGAAGGTACTGATGACTTGCAGGTAACTTGGAGGTATGTGTTCTGCCAAAAGCCTTCAAGGAGTCAAAAGGAGGCAAAAGCCCCTGCCATTGACCCCTTTCTCAAATTGTAAGGCTCAGAGGACCTGCCCAGGTTTGCACAGAAGCTGAGTGCCGGTTGCCTGGGCTCCAAGCCCCTCCTCGCCTCCTCCATCCAGGTACTCCAGGGCCCACTACCGCTCTACGCTATCTACCTGGGACCGCGGCACCCTCCCACCGCGCGCTACTCAGCCCACCCGTCCCCAGCCCCCCAAGCTTGGCCTCACACAGGCCCATGGGACTCCCTCCCCTAGGGCGCCAGGCCAGGTGGCCTCCGTCCCTTGCTGGGTGGGCATGAGGAGGCAGGCCTAGGGTGGGGGCGCCCGGGCGCCCTCTGGAGACATAAGCATGTTGAACTTGATGAGTGGTGGGGCGATGACGCGCACCTCGGCGTTCAGCGGGTTGAAGCGCAGGTTGATGCAGTGCAAGGCAGGCATGGCAGCCAGCTTCTCCACGGGCACGTCTGTCAGGGAGAAGGGGACAAGTTAGGGGGTCAGGGACACGCGGGCAGAGAAGAAGGATGATGGGTTCATTCACTGTATGTGGGCTCAGCGCCTGGCACCCAGCCCCGTGTGAGGGGCCACTGGGACCCACCAGGGAGATACAACCACAGGCAGGAAAGCATCCTATTAAACACAGCATTACTACTTATCCCAGCCATGCTACTCCTGAGTGGGACTCACCGAACTGCAAACAGGCACTCAAAACACTTGTGTACATGTATTCACAGCAGCACTATTCACAATAGCCAGTGTCCACCAATGATGAATGGATAAACAAAAAGCAGTATAGACAAACCACGGACTATTAGCTTGACATAGGCTACAACACAGATGAACCTGAAAAACGTTATGCTGAATGAAAGAAGTCAGACGTTAAGAGATCACAGAGTACATGATTCTATTCTTATGAAATGTCCAGAACAAGCAAAACCACAGGGACAGAAAGTAGATTAGTGGTTGCTAGGGACTGGGGAAGGAAGGATTGGAGAGGGACTACTTAATCGGTGCAGGGCCTCCTTTGGGGTGATAAAGTATTTTGGAACTAGATAGAGTTGACAGTTGCAGAGCAGTGTGAATGTATCAAATGCCACTGAACTGTACATTTTAAAATGGCTAATTTTATCACATTTTCTTTAAAGCTATACTAAAACTTGGTAACATTTACAGTTCCTCACACCTAAACTTTAGGATCCCTCGGTCTCTGGTTCAAGTCTCAGGTCAGCCACATAACAGCTGTGTGCCTAAAGCAAATTACTAAATTTCATGTCAAATATACGGAAAAGACAGAAACTCTAATTTGAAAAGATACATGCACCATAATGTTCATAGTAGCACTATTTACAATAGCCAGGACATGCATGCAACTTAAGTGTCCATCAACAGAAGAATGGATAAAGAAGATGTGTGTGTGTGTGTGTATACATACATACATACATATATATATATGTATGTATGTATGTATGTATGTATGTATATATGTATATATACACGATGGAATACTACTCAGCCATAAAAAAACAATGAAATAATGCCATTTGTAGCAACACTGATGGACCTAAAGAATAATATACTGAGTGAAGTAAGTCAGATAGAGACAAATACCATATATCATTTATGTGTGGAATCTAAAATATAATACAAATTAAGTTATTTACAAAACAGAAGCAGGCTCACAGACATGTAAAGCAATGCCTGGTTGTCCAAGGGGAAAGGCAGGATGCATGTGTGTGCTCAGTTGTGTTTGACTCTGCAGCCCCGTGAACTGTAGCCCACTGGGCTCCTCTGTCCACGGGATTTTCCAGTCAAGAATACCAGAGTGGGTTGCCATTTCCTTCTCCGGGGGAATCTTCCTGACCCAGGGATCGAATCCAAGTCTCCTGTGTCTCCTGCATTGGCACTGGATTCTTTACCACCAAGCCACCTGGGACTCCCAAGGCAGAGTGGAGGAGTGATAAATTAGGAGTATGGGATTAACAGATCCACACCACTATATATAAAAAAATAATAAGGATTTACTGTATAGCATAGGAAACTATATTCAATATCTTATAATAATACATGTGGGTAAGAAACCTGAAAAAAGTATACATTATATTTGTATAGCTGAATCACTTCACTATATACCTAAAACTATACTTTAATTAAAAAATAATAAAATGAACTTCATATCAGGATAATAACAGTATATACCTCACATGGTTGTTTAAGCATGAATAAGAGAATATCTGTGCAGTGATTCCTCAGAGACACTGTGGGTTTGGCTCCAGCCCACTGCAACAAAGTGAATATCTCAACAAAGGGAGTCATCTAAATATTTTGGTTTCCCAGTGCATATAAAAGTTGTTACCCTACCTTGTAGTCTATTAAATATGCAATAGCATTATATGTAAAAATATATACATGTACCTTAATTTTAAAATACTTTATTGCTAAAATAAAATGTTCCCCATCATCTGAGCCTTCAGCAAGTCACAATCTTTTTGGGATAGTAACATCAAACATCACTGATCACAGGTTACAGGAGTTTGCTCTCCCTTTAGTACCCTGGGGTGACTGGCTCTGAGCTCCCTGGGGACTGGCTCTATCAATTAGACCAAGGGTCTAGTGCTGGAGACAGGAGAAATTCTTAACCTCCTAAGAGTAGAGTCTTTTCTTTGCCCTTGAATCCCCAGGGCTAAACACCATAGGTGGCATGTAGACACGGTGAGCACAAGAACATGTTCTGGGCAGCTGGCATGGAGTTACTAAGGTGGGTCATGGCCGGGAGATGGGTCCCAAGCAAGACTGGCTAGAGGGCTGCCAGGGGGCTCCGTTTGACAGACAAGAACCTACGTGATGGATGAGAGGACAGGAGCCATGAAGGAAGTGATGGGGAGGGACCCAGAGCCCAAGGCAATCATGGAGGCTCAGTTGGGAAAGAAGCAGAGATAAGGTGTTTCCAGATCACTAGGTTGTGAGCAGACGCTGTTCCTGGGAGTGGAGGAAAAGCAAGATCAACTGCTGTCAATGCCCACTCAGCTTCTGCTTTCTCTGGAGCACATCCGCATGCTAATGTCACATTACTCAGCTGCTAGCAGCCTGCTCCCCTATGCTCCTTACTGGGCGGGGGGGCTGCAGGAGGGGGAGCCAAAGGAAGGGGCTGCCTGTAGAATTCCTTGTCTCTCCTCATGCACAGTGAGCTCCCAAGTGCCCTACCAACAATAGTTGGGAAGAGAAGGACTAATGACTTGGAAGCTTCCTCTTCTCTGTATTGGCACACCAGCTTTGTAACAGCCAAGGCCGACAGCACAGCCAGCAGCTGGGCACGTGTGACAGACATCATTCCCTCTGCCCCTGATGGCCCAGATAAGAAAATCCTCTTGCCTTGGGCTCTTAAGAAGTCAGTTCATGGACCGCCCTGGTGGCACAGTGGATAAGAATCTGCCTGCCAAGGCAGGGGACACAGGTTCCATCTCTGGTCCAGAAAGATTCCATATGCCTTGGAGCAACCAAGCCCCATGCGCCAAAACTACTGAGCTTGTGCTCTAGAGCCCTCGAGCCGCAACTACTGAACCCCCGCACCCTAGAGCCTGTGCTCTGCAATAAGAAAAGCCATTGCAATGAGAATCTCATGCACTGCAAGGAAGAGCAGCCCCCACTCACCACAACTAGCGAAAGCCCGCACACAGCAACGAAAGACCTGGCGCAGCCAATAATAAATAAATAAATAAATAAATTTCTTTTAAAAGTCAGGTCATCAGTGCAAGCTTGATGCATGAAGCAGGGCACTCAAAGCTGGTGCTCTGGGACAATACAGAAGGATGGGGTGGGGAGGGAGGTGGGGGGGCGTTCAGGATGGGGAGACACACGCACTCGTGGATGATTCACGTCGATGTATAGCAATAATTACAACACTGTAAAGAAATTATCCTCCAATTAAAATTAATTAATTAATTATTTAAAAACTTGGGTCATTTCACAGAGTATTTACCATTCTATCCCAGGTGACACAGGAGATAATCAAGGCCCAGGGAGGTTAACACATTGTTATTCATAAAATAAGTCCCAGAAAAGAGGCTGATTCTGAGAACTGATATTTGAGGGCCTGCACTAGATGGTCCTTCATAGTGACCCATTTGGCAGATAGGGAAACTGAATCATAGAGTCTCTATGCTGACAACGATTCTCTGACTCTACTCTAGCTTCCCTCGATTTTTCATCTAGGCCTGACTTTTGCACTTCAGTGTTCATCTCTCATGTTCAATGTTAGCAAGAATTCTGCTAAGTTGGTTGAGCCAGAAAGTTTCACTCTCAATACCTAATCGGGTTCCCCATCATCTACCATACCCTAAGTGATGTCTGTTCACCCTGGCCTGCCTTCAAGCAAGAACTAGGGGTTGCTAAGGACTTCTCTCTCTCTGAACTATGACTCCTCCATCCTGCAGCAAGGGAGGCCTGTGGGTTACAAAGTGGCCAGTGCTCCTGAGATGGGGAGGAGGGTCTCCCTGTGATGCCCCTGCCGAGGTTTGCTGGGCATGGCATGAAGACCTGCTGCAGCCCAGCCTTAGAGCAAATCTGCGTGACTCCAGGCCTAGAGAGAGCAGCGCTCCCTGAGTTTTCAGTGCTCCCTGAGCTCTCAGCCTGTCATTTCCAAGTACCACCCACGGAGTTGGCCTCTTCAGAGTCTTCAGTGTTCTCCAAATGGCTCTGCTGGAGGAGACTGATAGCGTGGAATTATGTGTATTTCTTTCCCCTGGTTTAACCATGAAGGTCATTTGAGCAGCTTAGAGGAAGAAGCAATGGGGCCAACAGACTGCGTTAAAGCTGGCAGAATCAACAACTGGCCTAGCCAAGCTAGCAAACAATAAGCCCAAGAGGCAAGTGGAGAGTTTCTGGATAAAGCACAAAGGAGAACATTCAGTCTCCAAGCATCCTAAGAAGAGAGGGAAGTGGCTGGATGGTGAAGGGGAGGATATGAAATGATCTGCATTTTGTGGATGGTAAAACTTAGGCTTAGAGAGGTTACATAAGCTCCCTCGGGCTACATGGTACATTGGCATCATGCTGCTAACAGAAGCCAGATCTTTGGACTTTGGCACACCTGGAGAGGAAGAAGAGCCCCAGCCCACCCCTCCCATGGGGCATACCCTCACCCCCATTCACTGAGTCTTGTGGATCCTCATATTCCAGTTCAAAGGCCCCCTCCTCTGTCTCTCCCTCTGGTCCCCATCCAAACTCCCGCACCACTTTATAGGAGAGCATGTCTTACATCACACTCTGGGACTATGTTCATGCTGTAAGTACAGCACCTGGCACAGTGCCCACAGTGCTCAATAGCTATTTGTTGGATGAATGAATGAACAAATAAATGAATGAACGTTTTACCTCCTGAACTAGATCATAAGTTCCTTCAGGCTCAAAACCAACCTGAGCTGGGCACACAGTGGACCCACCATCAACACCATTTGATTAAACAACTCTA